ATTCTAGAAGAAGGACTTGATGCAGGTGGCCCAAAATGAGAGTTTTTGAGTCTGCTAATGAAACACATGAAAGATCGTCCCATTTTTGATGGACCAGAAGGACATCGATTCCTCGTCTACAATGCAAAGGGTATGCAATGATCAGATGTTTGATAAACTTAATTTAAAGACATTTTTGGGACTTGTAAATCAATTTGTTTTTAATTATTATCAGAAGCAACTCATAATATTTTTTTGGTTTATTTCAACACAGCATTAGTCTGTCTTTCTATCTGATCGATCGATCTGACATCGATTGGCTCTGATCGATCGATAGAGAAAGTTGTGTGTGTCTAAGAGATTTTATCATTTACTGTATTCATTCACAGCTGTAAGGGAGGATGACTACTACCTAGCAGGAAAGATGATAGCCGTGTCAGTTGTGCTTGGTGGTCCAGGGCCCCATTTCCTGTCAGAAGAGTTGGTACATTATCTTGCAGGCCAGACTTCAGTAAAAGCCGCAGTTGCCTCAGTCACAGATGACGACATAGGAAAAGCTTTACAAGAGGTGAGGACAGCACAGGATTTGAATGCAGGATAGAACTATAGCTTCTTTATCTGTATGAAATTAAAATATTCTTTCTTTGTGTAGGGAAAAAACAGGAATGAAAATCAGACACGTAAGCTTACATTGTGTATGTCCATTTTTATGGGTTTTTCAGATCGACAGTGATGGTTCAGTGGATGTCCTGCGTGACTGTGTCATAAAAACAGTACTATGCTACAGGTGGCTGGTTGTCTAAGGCATGTTTCCACAGTTGAAGGAAAGAAAGACATTGTGTCTGACTATCTCCGGTGGTATATAATTGCTCGAAACTCATCTGTAATTGACAGATGAGACTATTATAGAAGAGACTATAGAATTATTGTTATGACGGTGTTGTGCATAATTTCCGACTGAAATGTTTTACATTCTCCAAGGTTTCCAAAGTTCAAAGTGTGTCCATAGTTTGTGCATGTATTATGAACTGGTAAATGACACAAAGTTCTCCTCATTCTTTAGATTTAAAGAGGGTCTTTCAGCACTTAATTTCCTGAGTGCACTCCAGCAACACCCTACTTTGCTTTCCCCGGTCTTGTGTCACATGGAAAAGAAACTCACAGCTCTTGAACTTGAGAGACTTTTCAAACCTGACTTAAGCCCATCTGGAAGACGTCTGGAAAGTCAAACTGTGGGCTACTGGTCAGACTTTCTGTGAAGGCTGTGAAGGTATTTATTTTAGTACTCATTACAAGACAATGTGCTACATATACATATATAATTTTTTTAATTTATTTTTATTTTTTGCAGAATCACAAACTGCTGTGTCGGTGGGCGATGTTCTGATGTTTGCAACTGGGCTAACATCACTG